TGCAGCTTTCCAAGTATTAAAGAAAAAATTGGACTTGTAAATAAAGAACATTTCACTTACTTAAGAATAAAAAACTTTCTTTATAAGGTAACTATATTGAAAGACTCGCCTTTTGACAAGATCCTTTTTGGAGAGGTTAAAAATAAATCTTCAGCAGTTAGATCTTTGGAGATATTAAACCAAGAAGTAAAATACAATACGATCTCAAGATGGGAAACCGAATTAAATAAATCTTTTTCATGTCAGGATTGGTCAAAAGTATTTGAAGCTTTAAGGAAAACAGTCCATTGTATAAATATACAGGAAACATACCTTAAACTTATCCATAGATGGTATTTGGTTGGCGTTGTAATAGTGAATGTGGCTCATTCAAACATGTGCGGTGGGACTGTACAGGATTAGCTATTCTTAAATTGGAATTATCTAAACTTTTTATTGATTTAAAATTAAATATTACGCTATCTCCAGAAAGATTCTTATTCAATTTAGACTTCCCAAAAATGGATAGATTCTCCAAATATTTGACTATTCATGTCTTGAATGGCTGTCAAACTGTGCATTGCTAGAAAATGGAAAAATAATGTTACATAGTTACATAGCTGAAAAGAGACTTGCGTCCATCAAGTTCAGCCTTCCTCACATTTGTTTTTTGCTGTTGATCCAAAAGAAGGCAAAAAAACCCAGTTTGAAGCACAATTTTGCAACAAGCTAGGAAAAAAAATTCCTTCTTGACCCCAGAATGGCAGTCAGATTTATCCTTGGATCAAGCAGTTATTACCCTACATTGAAAGATTATATCCTTGAATATTCTGTTTTTGCAAGTATGCATCTAGTAGCTGTTTGAACATCTGTATGGACTCTGATAAAACCACTTCTTCAGGCAGAGAATTCCACATCCTGACTGTTCTTACAGTAAAAAAACCTTTCCTTTGCCTTAAACGAAATCTTCTTTCTTCCAGTCTAAACGCATGGCCTCGTGTCCTATGTAAAGTCCGGTTTGTGAGTAGATTTCCACACAATGGTTTGTATTGGCCCCAAATATATTTGTATAATGTTATCATATCCCCTCTCAGGCGACATTTTTCTAAACTAAATAGGTTTAAATTTGTTAACATTTCTTCATAGCTGATATGTTCCATTCCTTTTATTAATTTTGTAGCCCGCCTCTGCACTTTTTCTAGTGCCATATATCTCCCTCTATAACAGAGATCAAAACCCAGATTCAGTATCAAGGTTTAATGGAAAAGGCGGTATATTTTAATGATAATAATATCAATTCCTACAATAAGATTTGGGGGAAATGGTTTGATTACTACAAAGAACTAGAAAAGCTACAATTTCTGGGGAAATTGTGTGAAGAGTTCTTGCCTCCACTAGTAGTCTACAACTGGAGTAGGCGGAGTAACTGTTATTATTTATTTATATGGCACATTTAATTGCAACGTTGTTGCCCAAAGTGCTTCACAGTTACATTAAAACATACATTTATAAAAACATTAGCAGGTGTACAAAAGGCCCTGTCTATGACATCACTTCCTGCTCCAGCCTGGCACAGGTCAGAGTATTTTGGCAGTTGCCATCTTCAAACGGTCGTATTTTAAACACTTTAATTCCTACAGCGAAGAGCTTTATATTGTGAGAATCACAAGACCCAGACCTACATTTTGATGCATAGTATGTCTCTGAAGTATTAAAAATGAAGGCACAGTAGCAGTTTAGAAATTGCACTTCAAATTTGAGCTTTGTAGAGTGAAGTTTCAATGAAAGTCAATGGACAGCGTTAGTTGCAAACAAATGATTATATTGTGAAAACTATCAGGACTATGGCTTAGCCGTTGACATGTTTAGTGGCAGCAGGGATAGCTGAACGTTTTGATATAAGATTTGTGTAGGTGGGCCTGCAAATAAGGGAGTGGTGGCAGTTTAGAAATCATGTCCTGATTTTTCAGCTTTTGCCAGCTCCCACTCTAGCTTTGCCATTCATTCCTATGGGACAAATTTCGCCACAAGAACGACGATATTCCGTGAACCATTCGGCGAAACGTTCCACAAAGTAATAGCAATCCGATCGGGAACAATCTGCACGTTTTGGTAAATTTTTGTCTATGTAGTGTAAAAACTGTGGGAGGAGTTAGGGTGGCAAATTTTGCTATAATAATAATAATAATAACTAGAAAAGCTACAATTTCTGGGGAAATTGTGTGAAGTGTTCTTGCCTCCACCAGTAGTCTACAACTGGAGTGGGCGGAGTAACTGTTATCATTTATACAGCACATTTAATTGCAACGTTGTTGCACAGTTACATTAAACCATACATTTATAAAAACATTAGCAGGTGTTCAAAAGGCCTTGTCTATGACATCACTTGCTGCTGCAGCCTGACACAGGTCAGAGTATTTTAGCGGCTGCCATCTTCAAACGGTCGTATTTTAAAAACTATAAATCCTGAGGGGCGTGGCTTAACTCCGCATGGAAGCAGTCGCATAATTCGAGAGCTCCGCCATTCCGTGGGCTAACACAGCGTGGAAACCAGCGATACTCACCCACCACCTCTCCCGCAAGCCAGCGAGGGAACAGGGGAGGACATGACCACCAAATCGTCCAAGAAGCTAAAACAGAAGACGCTGCACTCTCACCTCACGATGGGGAACAACGGCGTCCAAGATGGCGCCGACGCAGCGCAATATTCTGCCTCGGATCACGAGAGTGGAGAAAGCTTAGACCCCCCTGGCATCCCCAACACCCATCTAGCCACTGATGCCTCGGTGAGCAGCATGCTACAGTCACTCCAGACCAACCTTAGGTCGGACTTTTCCAAGATGGCGGCCGACGTCAGGGCAGACATTCAGGCCCTGGGGGACAGAACAGCACACTTGGAGGAGGCAACAGAGGGGCTGAGAGAGGCTCATAACGAGCTGGCAGAAGCGCACACGACACTACAGCGAAAAGTACACTTCCTAGAGAGCAAAATCGCAGATAACGAGGACAGGGACAGAAGAAATAATATACGGCTACGAGGTGTCCCTGAAACAGTGGGCCCTCAAGATCTGGCCACATTCGTTAAAGATCTGTTTCAGGCACTCATTCCGGCACTGGAGACCTCAGACCTGCGCTTAGATCGCACTCACAGATTACCGAAGCCGAAGCACTTACCTCCAACTACGCCGAGAGATGTAATCACCAGAATACATTACTTTGAGGTCAAAGACCGCCTAATGCAAGCATCAAGAACCAACCCACCATTGCCAAAGCCGTTCGCTGATATCAAACTGTTCATTGACCTGTCCGCGGCAACCATGACCAAGAGACGAGCGTTTGCACCTGTCACCGTAGCGCTCAGGAATGCAGCTATCCCGTACAAATGGGGATATCCCACGAAAATCCTACTGAAACGAAATGGAGTGGACTTAGTAATCTTTACCCCACGAGACGGCGCAAAACTACTCAGAGAATGGAACATCCCAATGGCTCGACTTGACATCGCCCGTTCGCCAGCACCTTCACCACCCACAAAACAACCCCGGGACTACCGACCTATTCCATGGCACGCGGCGGACCCACCGATGACACCACACCACCAAACGAGGCCCAAGGATGTAGAACAACACTGATGGAGCACAGATATGTATCGCGCACAAGAACTGTACAAACTGGCTCCCCCCTGGCGCACCCTCGCAGCTGTATTCACTTGCAATGTGTCTGACAGCCGAGAGCCCACCCAGGCGGAGAACCACTTTACTGTTTACGTTACTTAATTGGCACTGTTATTCCCTTTTCCTAGATCTAATTGTACTGTTAAGAAGTATTACCTGTACGGTGTACCAAAAGGGTGACGCACACATATAGCGTTACGCCCGGTAGTTGCCGGTAATTCAGGGTAATATAATCCAAATGAAAAAAAAAAAAAAAGGAAACAATTTTTTTTTAATTATATATAACATAGAAAAACCGTAACCGGTAATACCCATCAGCACCCACAGAGCCCCATTCGGCTTACCTAGTAAGCCATCTTATTACCCGTCGGCAGATCTCTGCACTAAGCCACCCGGCTAACGGGTTTTGTATATAGTTCAAGTTGTACTGTTGTATGTTGACACCCTATCACACCCCCCCAACCCCACCCACGAAATCGACGAAGTAAGGTGACACAAGGGGCTGAGTAGCACGGCATAGCCTTATACCTTCCTGCCCACCTGATTATAGCTGGAGTGATGTCAATCACTGTACTTTCTCTCAACGCCAAAGGGCTGAACACGCCCCATAAACGACGACTGGCACTTTTAGAAGCCAAAAAATGTAAGGCGCAGGTAGCCTTCTTTCAGGAAACCCATTTTAAATGGGGCTCACGGCCCAAATTTAACTCCCCCTGGTTTCCGATTGATCATCACTCCTGCTGCTCCACAAAAAAAAGAGGAGTCTCCATTTTAATAAGTAGAAACGTCACCTTCGAGCTGGTCCGCAAGATCAGCGATAAGAAAGGTAGATATCTCATCATTCAGTGCCACCTTAACAACAACCCATTCACATTAATGAATATATATGGACCTAATGATAACCAAGAAATGTTTTTGCACCGAATATTTGCCTTGTTGACTATGTACAGCTTTGGGGAGGTAATACTTGGAGGCGATACCAACTTTCTTCTGGATAGCATTAAAGATTCCTCTGCCGCGTGTACCATAACACCCAACACCTCTAAGAAACGGCTCGCACAATTGCATACGCAATATCCTAGCAACACATGATTACGTAGATCCTTGGAGAATTACACACCCCAATGAAACTGATTACACATGCCATACGGCGGTACACAATAGTTACTCCAGAATAGATAGATTCCTGGTTAGAACCACTTCCCTCCTCAAGATACTAGACACTACCATCGGGGACATGGTCCGACCACGCACCAATCACGTTAACGCTCAAGGACCGGTTCCCCCAGACTGGCCAGAGGACTTGGAGGTTAAACAACACTTTGTTAACGAACACACACATAGTCCAGGAAGTCACACAGGACCTACAAAACTACTTTGAGGACAATGATAAGCAGAACACTGACCCGGACTATGTCTGGCTAGCCCACAAGGCGGTCATTAGAGGCAGCTTCATAAAGCACGCCAGCCATGCCTACAAGACACAAAAAGCACAATACTTAGCCCTTATCAATGAGATCAAACACGTCACACACAGCAACAAACATACACCCACCCCTGAGCTACAACGGAAGCTTTTGAGCTTACAAACACAATTACGAGATATAGAGTTAACCAAAACAACATACCTCTTACGAAAATCGAAACACAAATTCTTCGCGGCAGGGAATAGAGCCGGCGCTAAACTAGCAGCGCAATTGAAACAAAAAACGATCGCCTCCAGGATTGCCTACCTCACAGATGGAAAAGGTCACAAAATTATCGACCAACGAGAAATTGTTAATATGTTTGCAGATTACTATCGTCAGCTGTACAATCTACGTGACGAGGGTACTACTAAGGTCCCGACCGTAGCGGACATAGACGGATTCCTACAGGACCTCTGCTTGCCCTCTCTGACACCGACCGCAATACAATCACTACGACAGCCTATTTCCTTAAAGGAGATCACTTTGGTGATCAAAAAATTACCCGTTGACAAATCACCTGGACCCGACGGTCTCACCAATGCCTATTACAAATTATTTGCGAATACCCTTTCCCCACACTTGTTGAAACTATACAGACAGAGCAATGACAGAGGAGCCCTACCAGCAGAAGTACTCCTAGCACATATATCCACCCTCCCCAAGCCAGGAAAACCACCGACACACTGTAAAAATTTCAGGCCCATCTCCTTACTAAATGGGGATGCTAAAATCTACGCCAAGATCCTTAGTAACAGAATAGCACCACTCCTCAGACACTTAGTACATAACGACCAGTCAGGGTTTGTCAGGGGGCGGCAGGGCTCAGACAACACCAGACGAATCCTCAACATACTGACACATATGGAAAAAAACAACACAGGGGGCCTTCTCCTGGTGCTAGACGCAGAGAAGGCCTTCGACTGCCTCAATTGGAAGTACATGTCTGAAGTCCTGGGGAGGTATGGATTTCCGCCCGAAATTATTAGGGGGATAGAGGCGCTGTATAGCGCACCCGTGGCGAAGGTCTCCAACGGAGGCTTCACATCTGACAAGTTCTCTATCACTAATGGGACGCGCCAAGGTTGCCCCCTGTCCCCCCTCCTCTACATTTTATCGCTGGAACCTCTGGCGCTAAAGATTCGGACGAGTCCTGACATAAGAGGAGTAATAGTGACAGGCCAGGAACACAAACTGGCATTGTTTGCCGATGACGTTTTGGTGTCATTGACAGACCCAGAGAGGTCCTTGCCACACCTCATGAACACCCTCACTGACTTTGGCCTAGTTTCCCACTATAAACTTAACCAAGATAAAACTCAAGCACTGACGGTTAACCTACCATTGGAACGCACACAGACACTACAACGACAACACCAATTTGACTGGAGACTCTCATCCCTCACATACCTAGGAGTCAAAATAGCAACATCCATAGCTAAAATCGTAAAATTAAATTACCTACCCTTACCACACATGTGCAAGGCGGACACCCTAAAATGGAAACACGTGCACCTATCCTGGCTAGGAAGGATTAACGCCTTCAAAATGTCTATACTACCCAAAATTCTTTATGTTTTCCGTATGCTACCTCTCAAAGTATCACAACCTCTGCTTAAGAGCCTACAAAACACATGCAACACCTTTATATGGGACAATAAAAAGCCCAGGATCCCTCACAGACTTCTGTACACCCAGGTCAAACAAGGCGGAGTGGGACTACCAAACATTAACCAATATTATAAAGCGACAGCGCTAACAGCTGGCATAATGCTACACTCTCCTAAAGGGGACATCAGCTGGGTAGACATGGAGAATGCCCAACTAAAAGCATTAAATATGGTTGACGTCCTATGGACGCCTAAACACCTACGGACCCCTAAACTAGACCTATTTCACTCAACGTCTCTGACGCTTAACATATGGGACACATTTATGGCCACAATGGGGTGCAAACTCTCCTTCCATACCCGGGCACCACTGACTGCCTTAAGAACCGCATCCCCCGACCTCCCTCTAACAAGGTGGGCTAAGGCAGGAATCACCAACGTCCAACACCTAGTAGACAATAAGGGTGTAATAGCATTCGCGGATATACAGGCCAAATGGAACCTACCGATGAGGGAAGTATTTACCTACCTAAGACTCAAAGGGACCATAATGACTCACGTGAACCTGCACAACAGTACTCGGGAGCAATCACTATTAGCGGGTGGGATTTTGGACAGATGCTGGGCCGCACCAAACAAACCAAAAGCCATCTCCCTCTGCTACAAAATGTGGGAAACCACATTACCACAACACATCCCCCTCTGTAAGACTAAATGGGAGGAAGACTGCTCCCTTCAACTCTCAGAGGATGATTGGGTCAGAGCACTAAATAGCCTCTCAAAACTCACTAGATGCTACACGCACATAGAAGCACATAGGAAGCTACTCTATATGTGGTATATGACGCCAAGTCGGTTGCATAAAATATACCCCAGTGTACTACCGACATGCTGGAGGTGTTCGAGAGACACTGGTACATTCCTTCACATATGGTGGACATGCCCGGTGATTCAACCCCTCTGGACAGAGGTTAGGAGATTGCTGGGTAAGCTGGGTATGGCAAACCTATTGCCAAGCCCGCAAACATACCTCATGCTTATGCTCCCCAGTGATCTCGCTAGAGAACACAGACAGGTATGTGCCATCACGTTATTAGCGGCCAGGAACCTTCTAGCGACGAACTGGAAGTCGCACCTATGCCCATCTAAAATACAACTATGGGACAAGATTCAACAATACCATGTCTATGAACGAATGACGATGACCCATAGTATAGAATCACAGCAGTTCCACTCAACGTGGAAACAGTGGACATGCTTATACAACCAAGCCACAAACCCCCAAAATCCACCTTGAGACCGTCATGTATGGCCTGACAGACTGTACCGACACGCAACACCATGCTTAAAGAACTGACCATTTTTTTCCCATACCAGACTGCTTTGCCCACAAACACCTAACAACAGGTAAACAAACGTGAGTGTAAAACTATACTATGCAACCTTACGTATACATGTATCAGGTATATTGCTGTTGCGGACATAGTCTGCCTACGAAACCCTGAATGTCACTGTCATTGTCTGCATTCCCCCATTGTTATCCTTATAACTCCCTTCTCTCTTCTGTACCCCATATACTTGAAAATCAATTAAAAATTGTCTTAAAAAAAAAACTATAAATCCTACAGCCAAGAGCTTTATATTGTGAGAATCACAAGACCCAGACCTACATTTTGATGCATGGTATGTCTCTGATGTATTAAAAATGAAGGCACAGTCGCAGTTTAGAAATTGCCCTTCAAATTTGAGCTTTGTAGAGTGAAGTTTCAATGAATGTCAATGGACAGCGTTAGTTGCAAACAAATGGTCATATTGTGAAAACTATCAGGACTATGGCTTAGCCGTTGATATGTTTAGTGGCAGCAGGGATAGCTGAACGTTTTGATATAAGATTTGTGTAGGTGGGCCTGAAAATAAGGGAGTGGTGGCAGTTTAGAAATCATGTCCTGATTTTTCAGCTTTTGCCAGCTCCCACTCTAGCTTTGCCATTCATTCCTATGGGACAAATTTCGCCACAAGAACGACGATATTCCGTGAACCATTCGGCGAAACGTTCCACAAAGTAATAGCAATCCGATCGGGAACAATCTGCACGTTTTGGTAAATTTTGGTCTATGTAGTGTAAAAACTGTGGGAGGAGTTAGGGTGGCAAATTTGGCTATAATAAGAATAAGAATAAGAATAAGAATAAGAATATATATGTGAGATAACAATAAGTGTTCTTGCAAGAACACTTAATAATAATAATAATATATATGTGAGATAACATTAAGTGGTTTTGCTATGCAAGAACACTTAATAATAATATATATGTGAGATAACATTAAGTGGTCTTGCTATGCAAGAACACTTCATAAGAATATATATGTGAAATAGCATTAAGTGGTCTTGCTATACAAGAACACTTAATAATATATGTGAGATAACATTAAGTGGTCTTGCTATGCAAGAACACTTAATAAACTATCTATACCTTATTTAAATTAATAACCCTGGCATAGATACATTTGTAAGATAAAACATGGATAATAGCATTCCGAAAGTGGCTCTAGCTCTTTTTATGTAGCTTTGTATGCACTGTAATGTAATATTCATATTTTGATGTTTATCCTGTGATGAAACACCTATTACTGTTTAATACATGTTTAATCTTCAAAATTGCAATAAAAAATGAAATTTGAAAAAAAAAATCTGTGATCTGCAAAAAATTACATCTTATATTCACTAATCTCTTCACAGTTATGATAGAAATTATAAAGAGTGGCATTAGAGACTGAATTGTGAAATACTTTGATAATAACTTTTACTTACCTAGAATATGTGCAATTTACAGCAATCCTCTGTTTAATGCCTTCAACCAGCTTTCTATGCAGCATGAATACTTTCTACTAATGTCATGTATTCTGATTTATCCAGTAACCTATTTAGGCACAGTATGAAATGCTTTTGCTAAATCAAGATGTATTGTGTTGATTTCACTAATGATATTAATTATACTGTTGTATAAAACAATTTCCTGAATGATTTCTCTTACCAGTCATCCAAATAGCTTTCCCACTAAGGCTGTTAGACTTGCAGTTATATAATTTACACTCTTAGAATCTGTCTTTATTCATAATAGACTTGTATTTGCTTATATTCAATCCAATGGGACATGCCAAAAATTACAAATAATGGTCTGTCAATTACTGAAATAAGCTTTCAAAAGATGAATCCAGTCTAGTTCAGTAACTTTATTAATCCTTAGCGTGTTCTGTCACACTTAGACTGCTGTTAGTGATAAAAAAAAGTATGTTGTAACAAGTGTTATACCAATTCACTACAGATTATATATGTTTTCCGCTTAATGTTTTTTTAATGAGGCATTGTTCAATTTCAGTGAATTCTGAAATGTAGAACATCATACAATGCTATCACAATGGTAATTATATTTGTTTATAACTGAATGAGTAACCTATATCACAGAAAAGGCATGACACTGCTTTTCAGTTATGTATTTCTGAAATGTTTGAATA